TGCTGTTTGCTTCGTTCAGGCATGTAGTATAATTTCACAAAGCTAGTCAGAACATTCTGTTTTTGCTTCAAATTGGGTTATTATTAAATCAAATTATGTGTATGAAATTATATAACTAAATGATATGAAATTATATAAATGATATGTATATGAATTTAACTAAAATTAAACAACAGTAATTACAGATTTAGGTTAAATAAAGAATGTCAGTCTTTATTTTTCTTCTTTTTAGGAAACAAATCAAAGAAAAAATAAACAAATTCTACTCTTCCTAATATTCTGTATGTTGCTCAAAAAACAAAATATATTGTGTTCAGCAGAAAAAAAGTGTTTTTACCCAGTCATTTAAAAATAACACATTTTAGAGCTGTAATGACAATACCGTGATACCGTGAAACCGTGATATTCTTGCTTATCATACCGTCAAAATCTCATACCGGCCCATGCCTAGTCCACACATATGGCTTTTTGGCTATAGGTTTAAATGAAAAGAGCTCTTTTAGATAAACAAGGCAATAATAGCTGGCACTCGTGGAGGTAGGAAAACAGTTGTTTATTAACCGCAAGATTTCTTGTATGTTGCTCAAAAACAAAATATATTGTGTTCAGCGGAAAAAAAAATTTTTTTTTTACCCAGTCATTTAAAAGTATCACATTTTAGAGCTGTAACGACAATACCGTGATACTGTGAAATTTTTGCTTAAGGTTATCATACCGGCCCATGCCTATTACAAACAAAACATTCTTGGTCTCATTTGGTTATTTTCACTATTTACATATCATCGGCACAACAAGACAAAATATACATGGCATTACAAAACAAAAACATGTCCAACTTAAAATGTTAGGAAGCATTCCTGTTAGGAAATTTCCTTTAGTGGAACATCAACAGCCAAGACAAGCCAGACTGAACCTGATGAGCTGAGAACTACAACAACCCCGTTCAATTCCACCCCGCTGGTGCCACGACCTCACAAGCAATGCACCCCAGCAATGCCTGAATTACCCGATCATCCTGCAATCGTCAAAAGGCTACTTGCATAAGGAAGAAGAGCAGCAAAAAGTGTGGACGGTGCGTCATGCGTCTACTAAAATTAGATGAGGACTACAGATGCACTAACAGCATGGGGCTCGGCATTGGCAGTACTCATAACGCCATGAGAGAGGAGCAAAAATATTCTTGACACAATTTCAGCAAAAACCTTCATACAGAAATCTCCCCAGCTGAGTCTCATCTAATCCAGTTCTAAATCATTCCTTAGGCAGGTCCATAAATTAAACCATAAACACACTCTTAAATCTACATTCTCCATTAAGAAAAGGTAGCACTCTCACAATGACGGAGCAAAACACAGATCAGCTGCAGTGGAGACATTTTGTCCCTTCTACACAGCAGCAAGGCAGTCTGACAGCCCAGTCTGGATCTGTACGGATTCATCACAGCATTGTCTTTTACAAAACTGATTGATTTCCCAACAAGCCCCATAAACAGCATTGCCATAGAGACTCACCTCCGTGTGCGATCCATTCTCCTCCAGATCAGCGCTGTCATAGTCTGATAAGACTGCTGTAGAAAAGAAATCAGCCATTTTAGCAAGTCTGTTTCCATTTCTGAGAGCAAATAACATACGACTAGAGAACTGCTCATCAAGACTGACAAACCTTCAGGTTTGGCTTTCTCAAGCCAACTTCAAAGTTTGTCTTGACTAACTTTTTTTTTTTTCATCAAAAGTGGCAGTTCATAACTATTTAACCTGTTAACAATCGAACACATTAAAATCACATATCTGCACTAAAATAGCTGTTCTTGAAACCTGATGGACGACAGGCATAATTTGGGTCTCTTTTAAAAGTAGATACTAGTGAGCTTGATGTCAAAACTTTAGTCACAAAGAAAGACAAAAGCGATAAAAATATACGCCCACCTTCACCAACGCCATCTTCACTTTCCTAAATAGAAAGAGATCAGAATCAAATAACCAGCAAAACAAGCACACTTAATAAACAAAAAGCCTTGTTTAAGAATTAATGATCAGAAACAACAAATCAAGAAAAGCAAACTTGTGAATGCATAACTATGGCGCATCCAGATTAAAACACTGAACTTCCTCTTCACTGTCAGCAGATCTTTCTCTTTCAATGCAGAACAGCATTGTCAGTATGACAGATCAGATATCAAACACTTAGGAACCTCAAATGTCATCTGGTTTGCTTATCAAATGCAGACTCATCATTATACTCAAGAACTAATAACAATAAAGCATCAGTGTTTCTCAGCCCGGTTTCTGGAGGTCCACCATTGATCCAGACATCTCGGGGGTCTCATTAATCTGACACACCCAATTCAGTTTAGACTGGCTCTTTAGGAAGCCTAACGTTACTGAGCTGATGAGTTGGGTGCAAGACAGAGGAGACATCCGAAATGTGCAGGACAGGGGAACCTCCAGGACCCTGATGGAGAGCCGCTGGGTTAGAGGATGAAAGGCAAGACATTTTAAGGTCAAACGAGGTCAATGCCACATTTATATTAATGAAGAACCACAATCACACCAAGAATTTCAAATCCCTGTAAAACAACTAGGCGCCTGTTCCATACTTGAACATTTATCTCAAGGGCTAACGTTAGAGACAAAAAACGCACCTCACATGAAACGTCTAACCGTAAATCACATCTTAACCCGTATTTAAGTGACACCAACTCGGTGTTTAGCCTGTGTGAAACACTACCAAGCGCACACACACTCAGATCGGCCCCGGTTATAAAAGCAGATTTATAGCCACACACTCACACACTCCGACTCATCGCCGATTTTGGCTCCGACGCGCTCCGCTGGCGATTCAACCGGCTCGGGATCTCTTCCGCGAGGCTTCCGGCCGGCCGAGAGGGATCTCCCGCTCTCGGAGCCCGAGGCGGACTCGTCCTCCTCCTCACTGTCCTGAGAGGCGCGCCGTCTCCGTCGCCGCCGGTCCGCCATCTTAACTCTCAAGGAAGTGAGAGCGGATCTGCGCGGGGAATTATGGGGGCTGGTGCGTTCGTCATATCCTCTTGTTCTCCGCTGCGTCAAAGGTGGCGCGCGCGAGTGGGCAGCAGCTCAGTGACGTATGAGCAATTAATTCACTTGCGCCAGTATTGCCAACTTAGCTGGTTAAGTTTCACATTCATAAGTGTACATTTTCTAACAAAAAACCCTGTTTTACAGTGTTTTTTAAAGAGTTGGAAAATTACTTGTGCACTCTTCAACATAGTACTAATAGAAAGGCAATTAAAACTGTCAGTTTGTGTTCTGTCTTCAAAATCTTTGAGTAATGTAAAGGTCATGCATGTCTCTGATTGTGTGTGTGTGTGTGTGTATATATATATATGTATATATTTTTTTTTCTTTTATCCTTTGTTACCCTGGCTTTGTATTGCTTTGAATATGTCGTTTAAAGCATAATAAAATAAATAAATAAAAAATAAAGTATTGTCAACTTAGCAATTTTGTTGCCAAATTTAGCAACTTCTCAGACTACCTTGGCTACTTTTTCTTCCAAAAGCACCTAGCAACAAATTTAGCTATTTTTTACATTTATTTGGCAACATTTAGCAACTTTTGATAAGTGACTCATACGATAAAAGGCACACATTTTCCATCTAAATTACACAAGAGGAAACCAAAGATGCCTAGCAGTAAATACATCACGTGAATTAAGTTAGCTGTTATTTGCAATTTTTATTAATTTAATAATAATAATAATTTAATAACTAAATAACTGTTCATTTATGAAACACCTTGTGAGTAGCTTGTACCTGCAATTGTTGATCAGTTAATCAGTATACTGTAAGAAAAATATCTAGAAAAATGGAAAAGGTTCTAGTAATTCAATTCAAGTTTATTTGTATAGCACTTTTCACGATACAAATCATTGCAAAGCAGATTTTAGTTTTCCAAGACATTATCTGTTATCCATTTTCCATTATCCGTTGTAACCCTGTATCCCCAAAACACAATGTGTAATTTAAAATGCAGGTTTATAAAAACCTGTGAAAAATAATTACGGAAAATTTCTTCATATTAACGTAGTAGATTGTGCCCTACTTTTACAGACTTTTATTAGAGTGTAACTTACTAACTAACTACTAATAGGCTACACTGCTTAAAACTACAATTGTTCAGAATGTGCACTTTTACTAAATTTTTAAACACATTTTACATTTTAAAATTAGTTGTTTATATTTTAATATTGCATTATACATTTATATTATTTTACAAACAAATCTAAATTAACATTTTTTTTTTTTTTTTTTTTTGTATTGATTACCATTTGTATAATCTTCCTTTAGCAACTTCCCCTGAAAATTAGTTGGCAACGCTGACCTGCGCGCTCTCGTTTCTGTGGTGTGATCACAGCAAACACAAAACAGCTCTAAGTCAGTCTAATGTAAGTCTTACTTTACTGTTTTTCCATTCATTGTTAAATAATGAATGGCAAACGCTCTTTGACTATGTCTGCTAATACACTACTTTCTTTTTCTATTGGTCTCTGGAATTGCCAGTCTGCAGTAAACAAAGCAGATTTCATTACATCTATTGCTAATCATTCAAGACTAAACCTCATGGCCCTGACAGAGACCTGGATCAAACCAGAGGACACTGCTACGCCTGCAGCACACTCCAATAATTTCTCATTTTCCCACACTCCCCGTCTAACTGGAAGAGGTGGAGGTACTGGTCTGCTTATCTCTAATGATTGGAAATTTATTCCTGTACCTTCTCTGGGTATTAACAGCTCATTTGAATCACATTCAGTCACTATTACCCACCCTTTTAAAATCCATTTTGTAGTTGTTTATCGACCCCCAGGACCACAAGGTAACTTCTTGGATGAATTAGATGTGCTGCTCTCAACCTTTCCTGAGGATGGTACTCCCCTAGTTATGCTTGGAGACTTCAAAATCCACCTAGATAAACCTCAGGCTGCAGACTTCCACACTCTGCTTGCCTCTTTTATCATGGCTGCATTTATTTGATCAGAAATACAGAAAAAAACAGCAATATGTATTTGTGCAATTTAAAAAAGTTTTCTATTTTAATATACTTTAAAATATAATTTATTCCTGTGATGCAAAGCTGAATTTTCAGCATCATTACTCCAGTGTCACATGATCCTTCAGAAAACATTCTGATATGCTGACTTATTATCGATGTTGGAAACAGTTTTCCTGCTTCATATTTTTTGGGAACCTGTGATACTTTTTTCAGGATTCTTTGATTAATAAAAAGTAAAAAAACCAGCATTTATTCAAAATAGAAATCTTTTGTAACAATATACAGTACTGTTCGTAATTTTTCTTTTATTTATTTTTTGAAAGAAATGCTTTTATTCAGCAAGGATGTGTTAAATTGATAAAACGTTATAATAGACTGAAGATTGAAATTTATTCATCAAATAATCCTGAAAAAAATATCACAGGTTCCAAAAAAAATATTAAGCAGCAGTTTTTAACAATGATAATAAATCAGCATATTAGAATGATTTCTGAAGGATCATGTGACACTAAAGACTGGAGTAATGATGATGAAAAATCAGCTTTGCATCACAGAAATAAAATTTAAAGTATATCAAAATAGAAAACCATTATATTAAATGATATTTTACAGCACAATTACTGTTTTTTTCTGTATTTTTGGTCAAATAAATCCAGCCATGATGAACAGAAGAGACTTCTTTAAAACACATTAAAAATCTTACTGATCCCAAACTTTTAGGAAAAGTGATTTGGGATCATTACTTTTGGGATCGTTCATTCAGTTTTTTTTTTTTTTTTAGGTGAGAACATCTTAATAGTAAACTACCATGGTATTACTAAGAAATTATTTTGAGTACCTTGGAGTACCATAGTACATTAATACTGTAATCATTCAGTACCTTTTTTGAGGTTAATAAAAACAGTAACAAAATATACCACGGTGCTGGCATAATTTGGGCTGTTGACATGTGGTACCAGGATAGTGGTAGTGAATCTTCAGTAGCATTGATTTTCCATTATTTTTTGAGGCAAGTACAACAAAATACAGTACCATGCTCTTTTTAAGAGGCACCATAGTGTTTTTTGAAATACAACTGGAGCACCAAATGCATTATGGTATATTTGCCTCTTCTTTGTGTGTAATGGACCATAAAAGCACCAACAAAAAGTATGTGCTTTTTATATGTACCATGGTGGTAACCATTTCAATTTCTCACACAAAGTATAGGCTAATTCTCTTAAAACTGATGACCGCAGTGATGTAATTTGTTTGCATCAAATACTTTTGACATAATGCAGCATTTTGAACCAAGAAACTGCAGCTGAGCGTATTAACTTGTAAAAACATCTTTTCTTCTACATAATTTATTGCCTGAAGAACAAAGGTTCTTAAACTACAAGAATGAAAAGAGGACCCCCGTCACACTTCTCCTAAGCTCACTCCAGTTTCCTAGTTGAATCCCATTCCAATACCCTTTTTTTCTAGCCAAACATAAAAGTCAAGAAGAATTCTGTGATTTAGCATTCAAAACAAGTATTCATTAAAACACATGGAAGCACAATATATCCATAATATGACTTGTTTTAATATTTGAAATAATTTCTTTAGTTACAAGTATCTTACACGTTTCCATTGAACAAAGCCTTATGTTACAATGCTTCTGTAACCGGTTTTCATCATTTTTCCCTTTATGTGACTGAGAGAACTCACACACCAAAAAGCACAGCATGTACAGTTTTGATATTTAACGGCAGCTCTTGATGTGTTATGGTAGAAGCTTTGGTCCACACTGCTCAAGCTATCCTGCAAAGTATGACGCAAACGCGAACACTGAAGTGTTATATTCAGCACTGTGATCATGGGTGTGGTGTTGGGAGAGCTTGTTTCTCAGACATTACAGAGCAAAACACAGTTTCTCACAGATACCACTTGGACTTTAGGGAGATCCAAAATTCACCCTTCAATCTGCTTCTGAAGATCTGAAAGTGCAATATAGGTGTGTACGAGAGATGAGACCACAACATGTGAACGAATGAGCTTTCATTTGCGACATGTCCGATGAGGCATCCGTTTCTTGGTCACCTCTGCTCGACTACAACGACTACGCTCCTCCAGCCAGGGCAGGTCAAAGTTTCTGTTGAATTAAAAAATAAATAAATACATATGTACTGCAATCAAATCAAGATTGACATTATTACATTGACATGATTAGCAATATGAAAATATGAAACCTCGATTGAACTTACTGCTGTTTCAGATTGGGAAGAGGTCGTCCAAAAGCCACCACTGGTAGGAAGGGTGTCACCATAATAGACTCCACTGAGGACAGACACAGAAACAAGCACTTTAAAAGACCAGACCAAATACTTTTTAAGGCATACAGGAAAAAAGCCATCTGCTGACATACCATCCTCAGGGTCGGGATAGAAGGAGAGCAGCTCTGGTTCGCTCTCCTGAATGACCTTCCTTCTGTTCATCCTCTGCTGCAGGCGCTGAAACATCCTCTGCTCTCGAATACGCTGGATATCCCACCTGAAAAAGAGAAATGAGATTAAGGGACAGATTTGCAAATGCTCTAATCTATTGGATGCTATATAGAAGAACAAAAAACCAAGCATCACCTCTTCCTCCTCTTCTCATCCAGCTCAAGTTTTGAATGCCTCTTCAGAAAGACATTATCATCTAGACACTGCACAGAAGTATGAGCATTTAAATGCATCACAGGCTGAACAATTAATCGAAATAAAACCAAAATTGCAATATGGCTAAGTGAGAGAGTCTGGGTCGATTATAAAATGGATTTGGGAACTCAACGTGCACAAACCATTTTCTCAAACAGCACTTATAAACCAGTTGCTGTCAAAAGCTATCAAAAGAAACTGGGACAGGCATATATAATATATATTAGTATTGTAATTATACAGTTGTATAATCCACCAGCACAGTTTTTGGTCAAATTGTGCAGTCCTACAAACAAGCAGCACAAAC